TCCGAAAATAAGCCCTCTGACTTTTATCCATTAAATTCAATTAATCTATCAACTCAACTCAGAATTCCGGTTTCCTCGAACCTCATCAAAATACCAAAAGTCAATCTCAACATCCAAGGCTCAACTCCATAAGAAGTCTCTTCACAGGCCGAACTCATATCTGAGTTTGCTTAATCAGTTCTAACTTCCTTACCATCTTCATTAGTGTATACCAAAATTCCCGATTCGATATCTTAGCTACCACTTGGTCTCATCCGAATGGTAATTTAACCAAAACCATACTCCTTCAGGAGTTCCAATTACTTCTCTGTCTCATATTTGACTCTCTCTCAAATAAAACAAATACCTTAAGGTCAGTAACCATCTCAAATCTCAACTAAACAATTGAGGCTTCCAAACTCTGGTACAAACACACAACAGCAACCCACTCCAATTTACTTGTCAGATAATCCCTCTCTGTACTTTATACTGCCTTCAAGCATAACCAAAGCTCATTAATGTTGTACTTAACACATCTCTTAATCATATCAACAAAGTATCTCAAAACACAACGACAATCTTGTCGGACTTGGCAAAACCAATACACGAACTGTTGACAGCTTTCTCAAAACTCTTTGAACTTTCTTCACAGTAGTACATCACTGCCTCTTCCCCAATACTAATAACTCAAGTTCCCGACGCTCAACATGAACCCCTATACTCTCCGAACATATCCAAACACCATCGGTTACATAACCATTGACTCTCTCAATCAAGCGTGGAAAATCATTATATCAAACGGACACTCAGCTGTAAACTTATGGTGATAACACAAACCGCACTCTCCGCGCTTACCATGACATCCAAACATTTTTCGCCAATAAATACTTAATTCCATGTCACTACTTTCCCATCACATAGAGCACTGTAATATCTTCCAACGCTTCTAATCTTGCGTCATTCCGAATTACGGTTTTCCATTACGACAAAATCACGGAAACAACCCTTCCACACTTAAAGGTCATCCAATACCTCTCCAACTCTTGAAATGCTTAAGGGTCCAATTATACCAACCATGTATTCCACATCTCATTTCCTTTAGTAATCACTAGAAGTCATTATCCACCCCTATACTCAACTCCACAATCTGTTGCCGTAGCACACACACCAGACATAATTCTCAACACTACTCAATCAATTTAATTCTTCGACTGTCCAAACAGATATAATTAGTCGGCAAAACCGCCATCTTCCCACTTTCATTAGCACCCCGAATTCCCATCAAAATTAACCATCTCCTCACTGTCTCGTGCCGACTCATCAACACACTTCTTAAGCACCTGGCTTAGCTCCAAACAATTCTCTGCTCACGCCACCTAAGCTTGCAAGACACGTCCATCCCATCCAACAGAACCCCAACTACTATCAACAAGAGATTAAGGGTGATCAGTTCCTCAATTTTTCAATAGGCAGCTGAAAATCATGATGGAGTATAGACTATCTTTACCAAACCACAATAGTGTTAACCACCCACTGAGCTACAACTTCTACACCTGCAGCATCTTGGAGAAGCACAACTTCTCCCCCACTTAGATCATTCCCACTTCTCCAGACAAGGTTAAGCAACAACATGTATCGACAGTGTTTTCACACACATGTCGCATACAAGGGAACAAATAACATTAGACAACTTGGCCGGACGGACCGACCTGCTCTGATACCACTTTTGTAACACCCCCTTCTATACCCCAAATAAATGCATATAAAACAATTAAGCACATACAAATTATCAGAGTAAAAAGGTTTTATAATAAGGTATAAAAGAAGAATGCCACAATTTCACCAACAAAACTCTTTAACATTTTGCTCCATAAAATATGTAACATTTCCGTAGTTTTAGAAATCACATTTCAACATTTAATTTAAGCGGAAGGTAACATCATTTAATCAGTTCCAAAATATTAATTCAAATGCACATAAGTCATCCAGATTAATACATCATATCAGTTAGATTACAAAACCACATCAGCTGATACATCGCAATGTATCACAAAAGAATGACTATACTAGTCTAACTACCCGGTGTTACATATCAGAGCAGCCGACTCAAAAGAATGAAGACTAACTTCACAAAAGGACTCCAGCATCCTAATCTGCAATGCCTCATAGAGCATTATAAAACAGCAGAAGGGTGAGAAATATAACCATAATAATCAAAGCATAAGATTATATATATATATATATATAGGCAGTCATATAACACATATTCACATTTCTCACCACACTTCATTCTCATAATCATGATATATCGTGTTCACATATATCAACATTATGAACATTCACAAGCACATCCCTTCATGCTCAATTCCACAATCATTCACAAGCACATTTATACAACAACAATAATATGCAATGTGACTCAACATATCCAATGCAACTCATGCAATGCGGTACCGACATTAGTTATCTTTTTCGGTTTTCACTCTAAACCGGGTCCACCCTTCTAGACCGATAACTTGTTATCATTTTTCGATTTTTACTTTAAACCGGGTCCACCCTTCTAGACCGATAACAACCAAGCCCGTCCCCTAGGCTTCAAACCCACCCTTCTAGGTTTGGGACAAGCCACTAGTTTCCACGAAACTAACAGACATTGCCTCTTGACTGAATGATGCATGTACAATCAACCAATCACAATAAATGCACTTAAGACCGTTCCCGCGTCTTAATCCCATGCATTCGAATAATTCACCCCTTCGAGAATTTCATTATGATTGCACATACAACATATATCAAACATGTATCAATGTATTCATTTCACACATCATCATCATATTCAACAACAATGCACACATATCACATATGTTCCCATACATTCACACAACAATCGCATACATATATGCACTCACAATTCATTAGACGATACACATACATTCCTCATTGTATTCCCATGTATCTCTAATTATCACAACAATCAAGTATTCACATCGCAATACCAGTCATACAATTATAAGTTATGCACACATATTCAAAATGTTCTCATGCATACTCATTACATAATTGTACACAACAATCAAACATCCACAACTCATCAATTAATACACACATAATCATCATTATGTTCTCATGTATTTTAACCGATTACAATTAATCATTTATATCACAACTCTAGGATTCACGCCCGAAGGCTACCCACAGCACATGTTATCATAATAGTTCACATACTCATTCATAACATAGAAGTATTAACATATGCGAATCAACCAAACAATCACCATTTGGATAACACAACAAAGAAAATATACTGTCACATTCGCCTTCATTCGCCTGGCGAACCCTCGCAGCGAACCTTCGCCTGGCCTTCGCCTGGCGAACTCTCTCAGCGAACACTCGCTAGGCTTCGCCTGGCGAGACTTCCCAGCGAGCCCAAGTCAGTAGCTACTGACTTCATTCGCCACCATTCGCCAGCACCTTCGCTGGGCGAACCTTCGCTATCCAACTTCGCCTGGCGAACTCGCCAGCGAAGTCCACTGGGACTTAAATATAATTATTCGCCAGCATTCGCTAGGCTTCGCCTGGCGAAGCTTCGCCTTCGCTCGCCTGGCGAGAGCCAGCGAACCTGCGCAGAACAGAACCCTATTATGTTCCTCCTTCACCAATCCATCATCAACCCTCTCTTATACATCCAAATCAGTATAAACAGCATCAATACATGTTACCCGACTATTCTACGGCATTATTGCTCAGTTTCAACCGATTAAATCCTCGATCTACCGATTAATCCAACTTTTGCCCTAAATAGAAAGTGATGAAAAACATCCACAAACCCCAAACCCAACATACATAATAGCATACAATGATTAAATAGCAACGTTTCTCACCCTTACCTCGATTAATCGGAGCTTTGATGTTGGTTCTTGATGATTTTCCACTTTCCTCTTCTTCTCCTCTCTTTCTCTTCTTCTTTCCTCTTTCTCTTCTTCTTTCTCTTCTATTTTCTTTACTTTACTATCTTTCTTTTCTACTTTCCTTATATACTTCCTTTTATTTTCTTTCCTCCCAATTTCCTTTCAATTTTCTATTAATTCCAATTAATAAAAATTAATTCCAATATTAACATAAAATCCCACTAAATCAATTAATTACTACAATTAATTATTTAATGAAATTTGGGCTGTTACACACGAGGTGTCTTCAGACCAATTGACGCCACCCTTATGACCTTAACAAAGGATCACCAATTGAATTGACACCATTGTGTAAGTCCAAACCTTAGCTGAGATACTTTGTAAATATTTTTAAAATGTAGGGTATTTTGAGAATTTTTTTAAAAATTGAGTTATTTGGGTAAAAATTCATTTTATTATTTATAATTAATTTATATAAAATAATCTAAAATATGAGTGATATTTTTCCGCTACTAATAAATAAATAAATAAAATAATTAATATAGTAATTAAGCTTAAAATTATAATTAAAGGTATGGAAAATTTTATTTAATTAGGTTTAATTAGGATTATTAAGTTGTTAAGGCTGTAATCAGTTTTTTTTTTAATTTTAAATTAAAAAAAATAGATTAAATTATGAGAGGATCTTTTAAAAAAAAAAGAAAAAACAGATAAATGAGAAGTCCTTTATATAGAATAAACCAATAAGAAAACGTTTTCATTTTCAAATTCATTCATGAAATAAAAGTGCTTATATCAATAAAAGCGATTATACCATTAATCAGATTTCAAATCTTCCTATATCTTCTCATTATCGTAGCAGACAAACTCGAGGTATCTCTCGATTGATAAACCTTCATTCATTTTCAAACACACACCACATATTTGATAAAATGCCTGCTAGATGTATTCAAACTTAAGATTTTCAAATGCACCTTACATGTTTGATAAAATGCCATCTATTTGTTTATGAGTATGAGCATTGAATACACACAGTGGATAATTTCAATTACAATCTTGGTGAAACTTATGTAGGTTGTCTTTTACTATTTTATGTCACAGGTATTTGTGGTAATGGTGGGGTGTTTCCCCTCAACACCCAAGAAATTGGCAATGACCATTGCATGTTCCCTCTCAGGAGCTGTCCTTTTAGCTGTTGGGATGCACCTTTCTTATGTTAATGTTGAACCCCAACGTGCCCGAACTATGGCTCGCGATAAATTCGTCTTAGATACGTTGAAAAAGAAGTATGGTTACGTTCCTCCATCAGAGGCCCGAAGTATGGCCCGCAGTGATTCCCCAAAAGAAAATAGCTGAATGAGACTTTGGGATTAAAACTTACATATCGGGTGCTGTTGTTTGCTAAAAGCTTTGGTTTTTCATTCTTGCTCCTTTGTACTATTTTAATTTATTGATTTCTTAAAGAGAAAATGAAGAATAAATGATTATTGCTAATGTTCACAGCCATAATTTAAATGATCGTAGTGATACCTTCATGCGAGCTTTTGCAATGGGCATAGTTGCACTCTTATCAAATGTGGGTTAGGGTTACAGTCTGTTTTAAAGGGTTTTTAGTTGATAATGAAATAGCTACAATGGTTGGTATTGGAGGCATCAAATCCATAGTGTTTGATTGAACTTTTCTAATGAAATATCTCACTAATTGACTAACGCTTCAATTTCATTTCTGTTGAATTTATTAAGGCCTTTCTGTGTTAGTTAGTGCATTTGAACGGAGAAAAAATGTGTGTTCTTCTCAATGGAACTAGAGACATACCTTCAGATTGAGTAAAATAAGATGCTATAGTTCTATCAGTTGAGATATAATTGCTCATATTCTCTGATTCTTCTTATGTTCTTTCTAGTAAAACTTAGGATGTGGCAATTTGCAAAGTATTACAGCTGGTAGCCGAAAATCTTTCTCTAACACAACTTTCTGACCAAAGGATTCACTTAACTCATCCATAGTATATCACCTCTATCAGATGTAAAGAAATGGTGCCGTATCTTCTTTGGAATACTACATATGAGAGACTCGGTTATCCTTTCTCTGGTACTCTGCTGGTCAGCTTTCCGCTTTACCTGCTTCGACATTTTTTCGTGATTAAAATGCTTTGTTGAATATTAGCAGGTTATCTCTTGTTCTTAAACTACTACTGACAACCTTAATGTTAGAAAGCTGAGTGGAAAATTCTGTGATTTGGTGTTACAACAAGATGTATTGGCTGGTGATATTAACCACTATTGCATAATTCATTTCAGTGACTAACTCACAAAATCAGAAGCTACTTTTGTCTTGCACAGAAATTGCTAATCAATATGATATGGCTAACTAGTGCAAGGACCAAAATTGATTAATGGTGTATTCTTTAAGCTTTTCCAACAGAGAATTCCACCAAAGCAAACATTCATTCTTCTAGTTTATTATGTGTTTATTTGAAGTTAAAGCTTCCAGCCCTACAATTTTATATGTCTAAATATTTCAGCTGGTATTTTAGGCATGTAATACTATGCAAATTTTGAAACGTATTTTGAGTTTAGATCTCAAAATTCTCAACCTCTAAAGTATCTCAGTACTTCCAAAAGCAATACTTTAAAGCTCTTCCAAACCAAATTGTTTCAAATTATGTATTTGACATTATTAATTCTTGTGCATGGATCCAACTTAAACCCTATATTTCACAACATCCCTGCATGTCTTTCATTATGAGTTATATACTCTCTCACACGTACGAAATGCCATTGCTATCCTTTTGTGTGGATAATTATATCTCAGATTTCAAGAAACTCACTAATAATAGAGAAAGTCTCAAATTGAAAGAGTATAAACAAATGGACATACCTATACTTATCCCCTAATATACATGTTATGAGAGCTTCCCTCTCACACGTACGATATGCCATTGCTATCCTTTTGTTTGTGATTTATCTTTTATATTGACTTTCTTTCTATTTTGGAATTCAATATACTTTTTTTTTTCCATGAAAAGGGTTAGTCATACTTTTCAGATTTCAGAGAAGTACAATACTCGGTTCAACAAGTCTATCATTCAAGAGGAAAGAGTTCACCGCAGTTAGATTTTCACGCAATCACACAGTCAAGACACCATGAACCGTTTTATTTTGATTGGATGGATCAAAATATCTGATTACATTTTTTATCTTAAAATTTTAAAAATATTGTTCTTAAATCAAGGCCGTTGACCGTATGATTGCGGAGTTTCGGTGACTGCAGCAAATCATAATTCTTGAATTTTTAAGGGTCTAACCAACTCTACTTAAAAGTTACTGACAAGATTGTTTCTTTACAATTATGCTGTTTTCCCTACAGGGTTTTAGTATTGGTCCCTCCATGTTTCAGTTTTGTTTTCTTTGATATATTTATTATTTAAAAATAAAAAATTCAAACAATGAACTGAAAATAGTATTTACTCATTTCATAAAATATCAAACTTCATTCCATTCTGATAGTTACCCTCCATTTCATTATATTCTATTGTGCTCCTCTTTATTTTATTCCTTCAATCCAAATAAAACTTTAATTCAAAAGTCAAATTCTCTTGTTACTTCATAAATATAACATTAGTTGCTCTTTTACATACTATAGTATTTTTTAATCATGAACTGCAATGCCCCATAATCTTCATACGAGAAATTCAAATCAAATTAACAACGACAAAAAATTTAAGGAGTCTTGTTGAAGGTTTACTCCTAATATTTTCTTCGGTCTTTATTTTAAAAAGAAGTTTTATTTTTAAATTTATTAAATAATTTATGTATTTATACTCATTTATATAATAGTTCAAAAACATTGATTATTTAATGCATGTAAAAAGTATTTTTTTTTCCTTATAATAAAGACTTGTGTGAATAATTTTTTATTGGTTTCCATTAAGTTCCCTTTGTTTATAGTCAAAGTACACCAATAACCATATCTTTTAATGTTCACATTCTTTGAACTAGTTGTCTTGTAGGTAGCTTGATATCCAAAAGATATGCTTTATAGATTCCCATTTAGTGGATAGCAAGCAACTTCTTTTGTTCCTGATAGATGCTGTGCTTAACAAAGCTCTAGGAATACAAACTGTGGAGCAATACCTCTTCATTTCACCAAACAACAATAATCAGAACTCAACTCATATGGCGGAAGTTGCAGTGTCATTAGTTATTGATCAACTACTTCCACTGTTAAGGGAAGAAGCCAAGCTATTGAGAGGTATTCACAAAGAGTTTGCAGATATTAAAGACGAGCTTAAAAGTATTCAAGCATTCCTTAAGGATGCTGATAAAAGAGCTTCAACAGCTGAAGGAGTCAAAACATGGGTGAAGCAAGTTAGAGAAGCAGCTTTTCGCATTGAAGACATCATTGATGATTATTTGATCCATGTGGGACAGCAGCCTCCTCATCCTGGATGTGTTTTTTTTCTCCATAAACTCAAAACTATTATTCCTCGACGCCAAATAGCGTCTGAGATTCAAAACATTAAGTTATCTGTTCGCAGGATCAAGGAAAGAAGCGAAAGATATGGCTTCCAATATTCCTTAGAACAAGGATCAAGCAATTCTCGGGAAAGCCAGAATTCCAAATGGCACGATCCTCGAGTGGCTGCTCTTTACATTGAGGAAGTTGATGTTGTGGGCTATGAACCACAAAGAGATGGGTTGACTGATTGGTTGGTAAAAGGAAGAGATGAGCGCACCGTAGTTTCTGTAGTTGGAATGGGAGGGCAAGGAAAAACCACTCTTGCCAAGAAAGTTTTTGAATGTAAGAATGTCATTCGACACTTTGATTGTCGTGTATGGATTACCGTATCTCAATCATATAGTGTTGAAGGGTTGTTAAGGGACATGTTGCAAAACTTTTACAAACAAAAGGGAGAAGATCCTCCTGAGGATATTTTTCGAATGGATAAAGGCTCATTGACGGGTGAGGTGAGAAACTACTTGCAAAAAATAAGGTACGTTGTCGTGTTTGATGATGTTTGGAGTGAACATTTTTGGGATGATATTGAATTTTCTGTAGGTGATAATAAAAATGGAAGTAGGATATTTATCACAACAAGAAACCTAGATGTTGTGATGTCTTGTAAAAAATCTTCTTTTGTTGAAGTGCTTGAGTTGCAACCTTTAACACAAGAACAATCTTTGGAGTTGTTCAATAAGAAAGCATTCAAATTTGACTATGGTGGGGTTTGTCCAAAGGAGCTGAATGATATAGCTTATGAAATTGTTAGCAAATGCAAGGGATTACCACTAGCAACTGTTGCCATTGGTGGTGTTTTGTCTGCAAAAGAGAAAAATGTTTTCGAGTGGCAGAAATTTAATGAAAATCTTAGCATCGAACTATTGAAAAGTACACATTTAATTGGGATACAAGAAATTTTGGGCTTAAGTTATGATGATTTACCTTGTCATCTCAAGTCATGTTTGTTGTATTTCGGAATATATCCGGAAGATTATGAAGTTAAAACAAGGAGACTGATTCAACAATGGATAGCTGAAGGGTTTGTGAAGGAGGAAAGGGGAAAGACTTTGGAAGAAGTTGCAGAAGGATATTTAACGGAGTTGATTCATAGAAGTTTAGTGCAACTATCTTCAGTTAGAATTGATGGTAAAGTTAAGGGTTGTCGTGTTCATGATCTAATACGCGACATGGTTCTAAAAAAATTCGAGGATTTAAACTTTTGCAACCAAATTAGTGAAGATGAACAATCATCCTTAAGTGGAACAGTTTGCCGCCTATCAATAACAACCACTTCTGATGATTTCGTTGAGCGTACTGAAACATCACATGTTCGGTCAATACTTGTTTTTACAAATAAAGAATCAAATGTATACTCCGTGAGGAGATTTCCTACAAAATACAAGCGCTTAAAGGTTCTTGATTATAAATTTTCGAGATTGTTGAATGTTCCTAAAGAGTTGGGAAGTATGGTTCACTTGAAGTATTTAAGCTTGGGGTATATAACAGAAGGTAAAATCCCAAACTCCATTGGCATGCTCCAGAACCTAGAGACCTTGGATCTAAGGGCTGCTAATGTTAATGAGTTGCCAAAAGAGATTAGCAAGCTTCGAAAGCTAAGACACCTTATCGGCTCCGGACTATCTTTGATTCGATTAAAGAATCGCGTTGGAGAGATGACATCCCTACAAACACTATGTTATGTTAATTTAAGTATGGATGGAGCTGTAGAGGTGATTAAAGAGTTAGGAAAGCTGAAGCAGATCAGAGAAATAGGGTTGCTTAATGTTCGTAGAGAAGATTACAAGGTTCTATCTTCCTCGATCGCTGAACTGAAACACTTGGAGAAATTACATGTTAAACTAAGTTCTACAGCTAGCAATGAATTCATTGATTTGAATTTGATTTCCCCGCCGAGTAAGCTTCAAAAACTTACATTACGCGGGAGGCTACAGAAGTTGCCAGAGTGGATTTTAGAGCTTCAAAATCTTGTTGTGTTGAGGTTGAAGCTCTCCTGTTTAACTAAAGATCCAATGGAATCACTCAACAGTCTGCAACACTTGTTGATCCTCTCTATAGGTGTTGGTGCTTATGGAGGCTCAAATTTGCATTTTCAAGATGGATGGTTTCAGAAACTAAAGGAAATGGATGTTGGATCTTCAAATGAATTGAAAGAGATTATTATCGACAAAGGAGCATTGCCTTCTCTGAAAAAGCTTCAGTTATACGGACTCCCTAGACTGAAGAATATACCGACTGGCATCCAACACTTGGAGAAGCTTGAAGTTCTCCATTTTCGGAGTATGCATGTTGACTTTTTGCAGCAAAATTCTTCTGACGATTGGAATTGGATTATGGAACATGTGGCCGTTGTAGAAATTTCTCCAGTTGATGGATAAGTTATTTGATCTGGAATATGCTTTTATAGCTTACTTAGACATTGCCAGTAATATAAGTTTTATAGCTTATTAACATTAAAACGCCTTGGCATAATGTGCATTCAATTATTTGCTTTTGATTTCATGTAAGTTATATTTAGTAATAAGAGTGGTGTATTCAAATTTATATCGATAAGAATTATTTTTTTTAAGCGAGAATTGCATTGAAAGAGGATTAGGGGGTATTCAAACCCGATTATAAAAGAGGAAAAAAAAAGAATTCCACTACAAAGAAGAAATTAATATCAAATACAACTTATGCTAATTAATGTAAAGAAAGTTTATAAAATTTGTAAAAGTTACATTTGGAACTACTAATTTCTCCTATATAGGATCATGTCCAAACCAAAAATTTGTTATTCCACAATATATCCGAAACATTCCAATGAACATTGTTAAAAATTATATCGTTTATCTTCTTCTAAATTGTCCAACAAACTACCAACCAAACACAACCTTATTCTTCTTCACTTTCACCTTAGAAAATAAATCTTCCCAGAACAGGAAAGCCTTCCTCAAATTAATGTTTTGAACCCAAACCAAACCAATCAACCTTGCCATCTCAATCCAAACAGCTTTAGAAATAGTACAATTGAGCAAAATGTGATTCAACGATTCAAACTTAGCTTTACAAAACTCACATAAAGGATTAGAAATAACTACAATTTCACGCCTAAGTAACTGATCTTTCGACGAAATTCTTTCCAGAAAACATCTCCAACTAAACACCCTAACTCTATACGGAATCAAGGATTTCCATAACACGGTAAAAGCTAAATTCGAAAATTCGAACCTACGGAAGAAACGGCAGACAACATAGTTTGAAACATGATAGCGTATCCAGATTTGACCGTGTAACCAACTGAAGGATCTCCCTGTTAGGCGTGCTGTTAATCAAAAGCATATTTAAAGAATGCAGCCTGCGCAACGTATCAACGTTAACAGATGGTGTGATTCCAAAATCGCCCCAAACCCACCTATCTTGAAGCCAGCAACCCATACACGCAACTGACTCCGTCTTAGAAGAGCTTAATAAAAAGAGATCAGGAAAAGAAACTCTCAAACAAACATTGCCTATCCAAACAGCATGCCAGAACAAAATGGAATTCTCATTGCCCACCCGAAAACCGCAGTGCTCAGAAAAGAATTCAGTTTCCACTCTGTTTTCTAAAGATAAAATATCATTCCGCCATGACGAACCGAATGAACGCCTAAGAAAGCAAGAAGGATATAAAACCTGATGATTAATATTACTGTACTTAGCCTTTAAGATGTCAATCCACAATGAATCTTTTCCCTCAATTACCCTCCATCTCCATTTCATTAACAAAGACTTGTTGAATTCCTCCAGTCTCTTGAATCCAAGCCCTCCAAAATCTAAAGGCAAACACAAATTTTCCCACCCAACCCAATGGATCTTCCTACAACCTTCTGCATCTCCCCATAGGAATATGTTTTGAATTCTCGTGATCTCCCTGCAAATTGAAACCGATGCTTTATAAAAAGAGAGGAGGAAAATGGAAAGGCTGCACCATACCGATTTCAGCAATGTGATTCTTCCTCCAAGATTCAAGATTTTGCCTGGGTTTATTCCAATCGGAATACCAAGAAAAGTAAACTTCTTTGCTTCAATCCTATAAGACAAAAAGTTTGCTGCAGCAAGTAAAAAATGATTACTAATATTAATCCCGATCAGTTTGATTTTGATGAAATTCACTCCAAGACCCGAAATAATTTCATATCCTCTAAGAACCACCTTAAGGGACAACATGTGATTCCAACTGCCTTCTCCAATTAAAAGCGTAACGTCATCAAATTGGAGAGTGTCCATCGTACAATTTCCCTTCACTTTAAAACCTGAGAAATCTCCAATGTTGTGAGCTTTCTTAACCAATCCTGTCAGCCCTTCCATCACGAGAACAAATAAAAACGGAGATAGCAGATCCCTCTGTCTGAGACCCTTTCCCACTCCAAATTCTCCGTCGGACTTCCATTCACAAGCACCAACATAAAACTCATGTAGATGATGGATGACCTTCATCCATTTAAGCCAAAGCAAACCGAACCCCATCCTTCTCATCATGTATTTGAGAAACTCCCAATTAACTTTGTCATATGTCTTTTCGGAATCCACCTTGAATAATAAGCATTCCTTCTTCTCTATGATTGTGAAATCGACAATCTCATTTGCCACAACCACCTCATTAAGTAAATGTCTTCCCAGAACGAAAGAACTTTGACAATGTGAAACAATCAACCTGAGGACCTTCTTAATTCTATCAGCAAGAAGTTTGGAGAGAGCTATATATAAACAACCGACTAAAAAAATGGGCTTGTGATCATCTAGATCGAAAGGATTAGTGTTTTTCAGAATCAATGTTAAAAAAGAAGAAATAGACTTTGACATCACTGCTTGCTCATGAAAAAAATGGAAGAAGCACATAAAATCTTCCTTGAGGAAGTGCCAACATTTCCTGATGAAGAAGAAATTGAAACCGTCAGGACCTGGGCTTTTCGACCCCTCACAACCCCAAATAGCCTCCCTAATTTCCGAATCTGAAAACCTAGCTTCTAACATTCTGGGCTCGGCTTCAGAAATGCTATTGAATGAGATGCCATCCAATGTAGGCCGAAACTTCTCTTCTTCCACGAATTTAGCAGTGAAATGAAAAACTTCCTCCTTCACTCCAATCACAGAGTCAACTAAATCATGAGAAGTGTTAATAGAACCAATATAGTTGGTGCGTCTCCTTTCCTTAATAGCCCCATGAAAAAATCTGCTATTGGTATCCCTTTCACAATCCCACTTCAATCTAGATTTTTGAAAAAGCATGTTTTGTTTAATCCTGAGATTTCGCCAAAGCAGAGAAGTAATAAACCTCTTATTTTCCACCACCTCTGAAACTTCACTCTCTTTATAAGACGCGAGGAAGTATCTGATTCTTTAATCTTATTCCTTCCTTCATATACTTCCAAATCAATCCTCCCAAAGACTTCTGAATTCCACCAACGCAGACTGACTTTAAGTAATCTCAACTTATCCTTAAGCACGAAATCACCTCTACCTTCCACCCTCAAACTCCTCCAAGCTTCTTCAACGAATGGTAAGAAATCTGCGTTGTCGAACCACAAATTGTTGACCCTAAATGGCTTCGGACCCCAATCGAATTCATTACCTAGAAGCCAAATATGACAGTGATTAAAACATCTCTATCTCCGATCAATTGACCCACCAAACCCCATCTACTAGCCAAAGACTCGGACACCAGAAAATGTTCTATTCTACTTATCGATCTGCCATCTCCGCTGTACCATGTAAGTTTATTGCCTTTGCACAGTAAGTCGACCAACTCAAGATTTTCAATAAACTTTGCAAATTCCCGCATTTCAGAATTTATGCCATCCAAAGATCTAGCCTTCCTATCCCTTTGATTCATGATGGAATTAAGTCTCTACCCACGCACCAATCTCCGTCGTTGAACCGAAGCTTGAGATCAAGTAACTCCTTCCATAGTTTCCTTTTGAGCTCCATTGAACAAGCAGAATACACATTTACTATATAATAAATCCCTCCTTTCCAACTTACATTCAACCCCAAGTAACATTCTCCTTTGAAACTAAGAATGACATCAACCGAATCTTCCTTCCACATAGTCATTATCCCGCCCGATTGCCCTACAACTTTAGAAAAGGACTAACCCAAATTCTCCTTCCTTCATAGGCTACCCACAATCGATAAATCCACACAAACCAACTTTGATTCTTGAATAAGAAACATGTCTGCTTTACCTTGATAGATTATCTTACATATTCTTTTTCTTTTCACCAAACTGCCTCCCCCCTAATATTAAGCGAGCCAATAATCATTTCCCTGATTTTTTAATCACCTTCCAAACTTGTTTCTTTTCTTTGTCCCGCTTTTCCATCTCCTCAATTTTCTTTTGATAATCCTTGTCCCCTCCTTTGTTCACCACTCCAAGATTTGCAATTGCCTTCCAAACCTTTTCTCCCACCCTTGATTCTAAATTCTCCCAAAATCTAAAATTACAATGAACCATATCGGAATCGGTGGTTGAATCGCAACATATTATAGCTCCATGTCTCAAAAAGGGTTCAAACTGATTGGAAAACACAGGCACAAGACTTGGTTCATAGCTTTTCACACCGAATAACTAGCAAGTGAGTTTCCGGTTTGTTTCTTTAGTTATTTCGCACCAGATAACATGCGATCATGTTATCTGATTTATTTGTTTTCCACACCGGATGACTTGATTCATTATATCTTGTTTAGAATATTACTAAACCGGAACACCTCAAGATAAGTTTTTTGAAACTATAAAAAATTCAAATCGGATCACTTGTATCAATGTTATCTGGAGCTTTTATGTCATTCAAAATCAAACCGGATAACTAGCATACAAGTTATTTGGTTTAGTAAAATAACATATCAGATGTATTACCATCAAGTTTTTCAGTTTGATAATAATACAAATCGGATTTCTTTTCCTGTAGTTATTTGGTTCTTTTCGTGTACTTTTAAATAATTATTTTTAACTCGATTGACTGCGCAATAAAAAAGTAAAAAAAAAAGTAAAAAGGTAAAATTGGAATATTTGCAAAATTGCAGAGGTATGGATATAACTGTGTCGGTATGGAAGACAATTCCACCCCATACCCCCACATTTATACTCATACCCCTACGAATTAAATTTTTGGACGAAAATATCCTTGTATAAATATCAATAATTTCAAAATTTTCACTTTTCCCTCATTTCATCACAACAAGAGCGGTAAAAACAAAAAAAAAAAATCCTAAATCACGTTTTACTCCCGAAAAACTCAGGCACAAGACTTCCGGTTCATAGCTTTTCACACCGAATAACTAGTGTCGCTACTGCGAAAATAAGGTGCCGGCAAAACAGAAGAGTCGCCACCTTTCGTTATTTATCCCACAGAAAGGG